CGGCGCGGCTGGGGTGCAGGAGGCCCCGGAACCTCAGTTCCCGGTGCAGGCTCTGCTCCGAGGACCAGCTGGTGGCTCTCTGTTGCCGGCTTAAGGACCGGCAGGTTTCTTGGACTCCTTGGTGGCAGGGAGCAGGGTGGCATCCGCCTGCCTGGCCCTCCCGGCCGGCCGAGCCTGGGCAGCGGTGGGCGTGAGGGCAGGACTGCGGAGCAGTTTGTGGCAGTGGCTGGCTCCTGGGGACCCCTGCATGTAGCAAGGCCTCCCTGGGTTCGAACCCAGTCTGCAGCACTGAGACCTTCGGTGGAGGCGTGAGGGAGGTGCGGACCCACTGGGGCTGGGTGAGCAGACAGCTGACGTCCATCCACAGCCTGGGTCTCAGCCCCTGCTCTCCTGAGCCCTGGCCCTGGTTCTGGGGTTTGGGACGGTGCCAAGTGGTGGATGAAGCTTGTAGGGCCTGGAGTTGATGTGCTGTGAGGAAGTGGGGGCCACCCTCACAGGCCTCCTGGGAACCCCCTGGTGGCCAATGTGGCACCGGGGGAGGGTGACAGCCCTGAGGGCACCTTGGGCGGCGGCTGCCACAGACCGTCCTTGGAAGTAGATGTGCTAGTGGCTTGTCTGTCTTTGGGACAAACGGCCGCAGGGAGAGGTTGCATCGCTCGGCGCCCCCGCTCAGAGTGTCCTGATAGGAGAGCGGAGGCTGCGGAGACTTGGCTGGCTGTTCCCGGGAGAGTTCGCTCCTTGTTTTGTTGGTTCTGGTGTTGGTTTGCCCCCGGGAGGAGGGGTGTGTGCGGAGCACCGTATCCTGAATATAGTGTATTTTTTCTACATTGGAATTCTCTGTTGTAGATTTATGTAAAAATACATTCACTTTTTGGAAATAAAGATTTTCATGTCTTGTATTTTTGTCCCCTGAGAATTTTTTACCTTCATGTGTAGCTGTTATGGGGGTAGAATTGATGTGGCCCTGTTACTGCTGGGGCCTCGGGCAAAAGTTCATGGTTTTTAAAAAATTAGCCTGTATGACTATGAAGGTTGTCACGGGACTTCACCTCGAGGGAGAGTGGAAACCCTCACGTCCAGTCCTCCAGCTCTGGAGACAGCGCCTCTGCTGTCTGTGCCCCTGCCCGTTAGTTAGTGCAAGTCCCAGGCGTTTCATTCTCTAGGCAGCAAATACGTAGAATCTAAAAGAGATTTCTTTGTAAAAAATATATTGACTGCCTCCTGCCGCCGCCCCCACTGGGGATCGAGCCTGCAACCAAATTGAACAGAGACCTCCTGGTTCATAGGTCAACACTCAGCCACTGAGCCGCACTAGCTGGGCTAAAAGAACTGTCTTCCAGAACCTTATTACATACCATCGTCACACACCTAAGATAGTCTTCAGTCAAGTATTCGCTATCCAGGTTTCCCAGTTGCCTTAATACCTTAGAAAAAAGAATGTATGTCCGCATGCTTCACAAAAACGAAAGGAACAAAAAGCAAACGGCTGTGTGCTCGGACACGTTCACAACATGGTGTGAGCTGCCCCGGGAGGCCTGTGTGTGGTGGTGGATCTCCAGCTGCTCGGGGCCCCTCCCCTGACCAGGAGGCGAGGGCTCGCCTGCAGGCCTGCGGCTGCGCTGGTCGCCCTGCCCCTGCCGTCCAGAAGCTCCGTGGCTGGAATTGTCACCACCAATTCAGAAGAATTCAAACACCAACCTACATAGGAAACACAGAGCAACCAGAAGTACGTATACACACGTCCGTGTACACATGCTGAAGTGAATTTGCAAATGGATTCAAAACTGGCAGGAGTGGTGGAAACCCACAGGGCAACAGTCATTTCCCCTGGCACAGCTTTGGCGTCTCTGTAGGTGACAGTCGTCGCCCAGCTCCCTGTATGTTGGGCAATGGCTGAGACACCAGAGGCAGAGGGCACCAGCGAGCCCTCTTATTTTTTTGGCCCGAGTCAAGGTGGCAGTTTTTCCTGGCAGACGAACTACCCCATCCAAAGGCTGGCGCGCGGGAAGGAGGGAAGTCCGGAGTAAGACCGGAGGCGGTGTGCTCATGTCAGTGGAATGCCACGCAGCTCAAAGAGCAAAGCAGTCACATGTCTGTGCACGGTCCATGGGTGCATCACAGGTCTGTGCACGCAGGTAGGTCTGTTAGTCACGTGGTCCACTGTACTAGGGGCAGAAGGAAAAAAAACAGTGGTTAGATGCCACGAAGTAGGTGGCAATGCCTTAACCGTATGCGTGTTGTTAGGCCCGAGAGCCTCTTCCATCCTTGTCAAGGGGAGTGCTAACCTTCTCTCCTTTCATACAACACGGTTGAGGTATGGCGTCGATTGCTATTTAAAGCCCTTCATTCCCATCACTTTTAGGTCATGGTGACTTTATGTACATGTCTCCGAGATACGAGAGAGAGCACTCACATCCTACAGGGACCACACTGTCTACACTAAAACCGCTCATATTCGTTTTAGCATTGGAAAACCTCTTTGTTTTCGTGCTCTAATATATGCATAAATACAGCCAATCAGAAGCTGAGAGGAACACCCGGAAGTCCCGTGTCCTACAGCAAACTAGATTCCCCCGGAAACAAAACAGCAACACGACTCTCGAACGGTCGGGAACTGGCTCGGAACTTTCTGCGGAAATGGAAGTGGTTTGTAGCGAATCAGAGGACGAGGAAGGAAGCTCAGCTCCACGGACTTCCGGACGCGTCCCTGCGCTTGGAACTGTGGGTGTTCGGGGCGCTGGGACGTGAGGCACGTCGCCCGCCCGCGCCCCGCGCTCCGC